GTCCGTGGCGCAAAAAAGGTTGGAGACCGCTGCTTTACAGTGTTACCACAAACCCCCTTTAGGTACCCCCCGTTCGGGAACCTGAAGTGAACCCCAGTTAAGGACTGGTGGTGGGACTCTCGGCTCCAGTTCCACCCTGGCAGCCTCCTCCTGATCCTTCCCGTGTCAGCTCTAAGCTAACATGACACGCTGATGAAGTAATCGTGTCAGAGCCAGCAGACGCTCAGATCTTTTACTTTCAAGCACCTATACGTACACACTCTATTCCAGCACTTCACTTGTTCTCCTGTAAAGCATCCTCTATCTCTCTTTATCTCCTCGATGTCATGATGAGATCAAAAGAACCAAAATACATTAAAAAGACTATTTCTGAATCTCCAGATCTTTGCTTTAGCAGCGCAGAGAAGGACATCGTTGTTCAAGCACGTTTCACATGATGCTGCCAGTTCTGTAAGTTATCGTTAAAGGAGATGCTGCACAATCGGGGTGATGCTGCACTGCGTGGGGACCTAAAGCTCAGGCAGAGCACGGGCAGCAGAGCACAACAGCTGCCTGTCAGTCTTTCCATAGTCGGTAATAGCCTTACTTCCCTCAGGAGGGAGCGCTGAGTGGGACTGGTCGAGCACATCGAAAAGGGGAGCTACGTAGACACACATCCAGAGTGCTATTTTTAATAATAACACATTTCGTCGTCCTTAAGTGCTTTTATCTGTAATTTCACATGACTTTTTATTCAGGTATACGCTGGGAGGAACCGCACAGATGGGAGCAAAGCGTGCTGGTGCATGACTGGCAATGTTAATTTAAAGATTCAAGCCAATACAAACATGTGAACCACACATTCCCTAAGGATAAGCGCCCCCTTCTCACGCTTAACGGGGGTAAAATAAAATGACATCTAATTCAACTCCGTTCAAAGTCTTCCTGTGGTGACGACGTGCCCCGCGGAGCTCCTCGTGCACCCATGCGGCTTGTATCTCTGGATTGTGTGATTCACTCTCCTTCTCAGCTGCTTCGTGCTGTCCGGGAGTCGCGGCTGGTGTCGATAATTAGGGGAAGAAAGCTCAAGTGGTCCGAGGGTACCAAAGGGTTTTAATTAAGCCGTTTAGAGTTGTTTTTTTCTTTAAAAACAGATGTAGCGTTCAGGAGCGCTTGTAAACCACAGCTCTATCTCATATCAGATCTATAGATCCCTGTGTAGTCCAGAGATGCCTGTTTGCTGCTGAGCATCCTGCCAAAGAGGCTTTTAATGGGACAGCAGCAGTGGAGACTCTTAGTCTCACCAGCCCTGAAGGCTGTGCGCTGTAACAGTACGGGAATGCTTCAAACTGGATGAAGCATAAGGAGCAGGGACAAAGGATTAATCTTAAATCTTCTTCAAAATGAGTTTACACAGAGAATATTTTACAATCAAAGGCCACGAGCCGTCCCGGGCACCCAGCGGCGGGGCTGCGGTATTTTGCCTGCATCATGAAAGGCGCCGTCTCCACCTGTCGTGTCGACAGAAATCCAGTCAGGACGTTGTATCTGGAATTTGGAAAAACACTTGTATGGCTGCTTTGGTGACGCTAGATCAGACCACCATCTGCTAGGAAGAAGCAATAAAAAGGAATGTCTTTAATTTCACTCTCTGCTGGAATAATTAGGCCATTTATATTCCGCACTTCATGATTTAAGAGAGGAGCGAGGGAAAAGTCGATACTGGGACTATACAGGCGGCAGCATTTCAGCCATCAGCCTGTCCAAGTCACTTTGCCCGTTAGATTTATGTGCGGCCTTGCTACATGACTTCACTAGGTAGCACCGCTGTAATATATCCCACTCCCTGCCATTAATCCCTCCCCTCGATAACCCCAACATGCAAGGAAACTCCATCTTAAATCACGCGCCGTCACCTGGCTCCTGTGCCGAGGCGCTGTGAACATGCCTTCGATGCTCTCTGTGAAGCTCCCGCAAGGCCTCGCAGATCCCAGACTTACCGACCCCCTCTGAGCCCATTATCCCTCACCCTGTGCTGCACAAAGGTAGCAGTGGGGATCACCTGTGCAGAGCACACAGGCTGGCCAGACTGTGTGAGTCATTTTATTTAGGAGAAGAAGAAAAATAAACAAGCGACTCATTAGCACAATTTGAGCTGTTATGTAAGGATCTACAGTCCAGCTCATGAACATTCCTCTCGCTCTGACTCACTTAATTCAGATAACTTGATTACATTTGGGAAATAAAGACTTCAAACATTTACACCAACTCTGAACCTGCTTCTTATTCCAAATATGGCGACCCAAATAATCCGATTAACCAACAATGGCGCCTTTTATGAAGCGTACGGCGATTCGGTGAACAGTCACGTCTGCTTTCGTCCTCAACTTCAGACCTTTTCTGACCCAATAATCAGACATCTGCATGGAAAGATTTGCACTTTGCTGTATTTCATGTGTTTGACCTTCCAAAAGCAGCGCTATTACTTTATACAGCTCCTTCTCTTGCTCTCCTTTTCCCCCCATTTCCATCTCCGATGTGTCTTTCTTGGTGACTTTACCCAATTGCGTGTGAGCAGTAATTTGTCATGTTCCTCTAAGCGTAACCAAGATGAGATGGCAGGGGCCCTCGGGCTCTAGCCACTACACTACCTGAACCTCCGACACTTACATAATGGCAGGTTTGGAGAAAGAGCAGGGGGATGGAAGAGAGCTATATACAGCCAGGGAATACACGAGACAAAAGCTCGCGGAGATCCTGCAACCGAAGAGGGAAGAGCTGCATTAATCATGACACTACCTTGGGAAGACAACCTCCATTACATCAGAGGAGGCAGACAGCCTCTCGGAGAGGAGAAGGCAGCAGTCAATGCCACTGAATATACCAGGCTGATATTGCTTGAGGGCTTTAAGAAGGAAGGGCTTAGAGCTTCCTGTGCAGGCAGCCCAGCATACTTCCCATGAAATTGGCCCTTGGCATGCACACAGGACATTCGAGACACTCCAGCGTAGCCTCTGACAAGATCAGCTCCTTGGAGAGAAACTTTCGTCATAGAAAAGCTTGAACTTTGCCCAAAAATGTGAAATTTACTGTGGCAGTAAATGATGGTAGCATGGGAAAAAGAAGTTCTGACGGGACACTAAAAGCCTCACACACGTCAGTCCAGGCTCGGCCAGTTGCTTCACGGCGTAGCCCGAAGAGTCTTTAATATGCTGGTAATTTTACAAAATGTCAGAAGTGTTTTGTCTGAGACGGGTTTGCACATATTATGTAGGATGCAACTAGACTTGGGCCCTGCTCTGCAACACGATTGCAGTGACAGCAACATCACAGCTATCACAAGACACCTTGCATCGGAACTGTGAACAAATCGCTGTTGCAAGGCGATGAGCCTGAAAACCAATTACGCAAGAGCGGACATAAAAGGGGGGAAAACGTAAAGTGAACGATAAAAGCCCCTCGCACGGCCGGGCCGGCAGCGCCTCGCAGCTACGCTGCAGAAACGCTGGAGAGCTCTGCTGTAAGGTGATAAAATAAAAAGGGACCACGCTTATAATAGCCCACAAAATCTTCACACATCACAGCGTCACATCTGCACCCACCGGGTATTTGTTGACTGCATTTTGCTCTTCTCCCCCTACATCCATTCCCTCTATAATGCATTTATTTATTTATCTCGAACAACAGCAGCATCAGCACTTAGGATCTCATCAGTTACCAGGAGACAGGTCACACACGCCATACTGCAGTGTGCCTGTAGAAAACTGGGAAATCTCTCATCTCGCTGCAGGTGCGTCCCACAAGGAATTCTGAGAATGTAGCACCGAAGGTCGACACCGGCATCACACCGGAGCTAATGTTAATGTGGTGTGCACCATCCCCACATCTCATTTTAAGACAAGGGTCTCTGAGAGGAAAAACAGTGGAGGCTGGGTAGAAATAAACAACCGGATCAATAGCTAAACAAATCAATTGCTACCAAACCATCTCCACGTAACGACCACGCATCACTGTCTCCAATACCTGGCCTGTACTGCAGTTGGGAGACTGGCAAAACTATTTCCCACAGCTGGACGTTTTTGTGCCTTTGCAGCAAAATAAGAGCACATCTGCATTTACAAGGATATCAGGATATCGGCTCTATTAAACCCTGCCTGATTTTCTTCCTCTCTCGCTCTTTTGTCCTCTTTGTCATTCATGAATCAAGGCCGTCCTAGCCACTCCCCCTGTTGTTCTATGTCCTCTACAGGGAAGGGAGGAAAGACAGGGGAGCAGCTGTGAATTTTAGCATCCTGCTGACTGATGCTGATGAAGATGATGCTCTGGGGAGGGTCAGTTTTGGCATGGCGGGATACACATGCTCCTCTGGCCTCTGGACCTAGAAAAACAAAGCCTCACAATACCAAAGCCTGACCAGCTCATCTGGCCACAATCATAGCAGCTATTTCTTCTGCCTTAATTAGAGTACCCTTCCCCATGGTACCGTCAGGCTATGATTGGAAATCTTATCTAGCCCTCTCAGCCATTACTTAGTCATACATTTTAACAACAGCAGCACTGAATTATGATTAACTAGGAAGCTCAGTGCAACAATGGGATGAATATCATTTTATTTTGTTAGCAGCATTTTTCCCCATCATGGGGGGATTTCTGGTAATAAATGCTTTAGCCACGAGACACAAATTTTTTTGTAACTGGTCTTTTTTTGGTTAAATTAATCCTGCACCACACAAAAATCTGCTTATTATACAGCCATTAACAACGGGAATTGTACAGGTTTCTGTCAAACAAGGCGCTTTTAAAGCCCCGGGCAGTTTATACTGCACAGCACAAGGATTTTTTCTCCCTGTTATTGTTTCATAAACTCTTTATATGCCAATCTGACTCTTTTGTAAAATAAAAAACAAACAGCACACTGTAACAACATGCACTACTGTAATCAGTTCTCAAATATTAACACAAAAACAAATTCACAAAAATAATGGATAAATAAATAACCAGATAAAATCTGCTGATGTTTGGGCAGTTTTATTTCACTGAAGCTCTCTCTAGGGGACAAAAGTCATTTTTTTTGTATATAAACCTAAGACATGTAAATATATAACTTAAATATATATGACTAGTCACGTAATTGTTTAGTGAAATTAATGATAAATAATGTAGAAAATAGTGAAAATGACGCGAAATCAGTAATTAAAGGAGTTCGGTTCGAGTGAAACGGCAGAAGTAGTTCCGGTCCTGTTCTGGCTGCTCGGAGGTGTCGGGAGTACAGTAGCGGCGCGGAGCTGTGAGGTTTGAGCCCTCTTTGAAGTTGGGAGGCAGAGACCGCTCTGCTCCAGCGCGCGAGCCCACGCACGCGCAGACACACAAACCGGCGAGTAGCGACTCACAAAGAGAGAGAGCGCGCGCGAGAGAGAGAGCGAGAGCGAGCGAGCTCCGGTTATTCCTCCGGGCTCCGGCCGAGCCTGTGTGGTCTCTCCGCTCTGTTGCTAAGGAAATGGATGGCGCGAACGGCTCCGCGGTCCGGGATGAATCGTGCTCCTCGCCCCCTCAGAAGCCTGCCGTGTTTACCGGAATCACTGCGAACACCGTGACGCGCCAGCTCTGCACCAGCCGGGGTAAGAGATCATTCCCACAGCGCTGCTTTCTTTCAGACCGGGAAACAAAACGGAAACAAGTGGCCCGCGTTTACTGTTCATTACAAGCTGGAACGAGCCGTTCATTGAATGAGAAAAACCGTTATGTCAGGAGGTCCGACTAAAAAATGTGGATAAAAAAAATAGTAATATAGGGAAAAAAAGCTTTATTTTCAAAGTTTATTTCTGCGACTGAGTAAATAATAACTGGTGTTCCAGCTTTAGATGAGGCTTTGCAAGTCTTTAAAGGCTAGTCTCAGTTTGTTCGGTAAACAGCGCTGAAATCAAAGTGGTAGAAAATACAGTCGACTGTGTGAGTGGAGTGAAGGCACTGCAGCTCAGAGTCCACATACTGTGACTACTGAGCATGGCAAATACCTCAAACACAAACTCATCCTCCTCACAGACAGTGGCTCTGTAAGAGCAGAGGAGTAGAGCACACATGCACAACGACCGGCGGTGTTTTGCTTACCTACAGTGAGCCTGAGCAGCTCTTAGCGCCAGTGCTTGATGCTGTCCTTTGTTTCCAGCCAAAAAAAAAAAAAAAGTCTGCGCCTGTGTGAGGTGAATGAGATGTGAATTTCTCATTTCCGTCTCTCTCCTCCAGCCCAGTGGAGCTGCAGCTGAGGAGCCGGGGAACTGGGGGATTCTGACTGGCAGCTGGTGCACCACCAAAGGAGGGGAGGGAGGCGGCGGGGGTCCACGAGCAGCGGTGCCGGAGCGGGGTGAATGCTGCCCGGAGAGGACAACGGCTGAGGCGGCAGCGGCGTCGACTTGAAAAGCAGCATGGCATCCACGGGCATGCAGATATTTGGATTCGTCCTCGCTCTGCTGGGCATCATGGGCGCCATGGTGGCCACTCTGCTGCCTAACTGGAAGGTGAGCGCAGATGTGGGCTCCAACATCATCACAGCGATCTCCCAGATGCAGGGACTGTGGATGGACTGCACATGGTACAGCACAGGCATGTTTAGTTGCACACTTAAGTATTCAGTGCTTTCACTACCCGCATACTTGCAGACTGCTCGCACCACTATGGTGCTGTGCTGCGTACTGGCCGCCATGGGCCTTTGCCTCGCCTCCCTGGGACTAAAATGCACGCGCTGGGGAGGTGGACGGCGCTCCAAGCGACACGCCGCCATCGCCAGCGGCGGCTGCTTCGTCGCTGCAGGCTTTCTGTGTCTGGTGCCTGCGTCTTGGTTTACCAACGAGGTCATCACCAACTTCCTGGATTCCAGCGTTCCCGAGAGCAATAAGTTTGAGCCTGGAGGTGCCGTGTACGTTGCCTTTGTTTCCGCAGGTTTCCTCTTTGTGGGGGGGTCCATTTTCTGTATGTCCTGCTCGGGAAAGAGACACGGACCCCAGGATCTGGTCCTGCTGCCCCCCCCTGACAAATTGCTTCTCCAGCAGCAGCAACAACAGCTGCTCCAGCAGCAGCAGGAGCTCCAGCACCAGTACTGCTCTCTCTCCCCATTAGACAATAAGACGGGCTACAGCCTGCAGGACTACGTGTAATAACGCAGTGCTGTGCACGCCAAAGGGAGACGAGCCCGAGGGGAAACATCACGGCTTATTCTACGCACTAGGATCTACTCAAGGATGGAGTTGGAGGAGAAAAAAAAAAAAAAGAGAGGAGAGCAACAACTTTGAAATCATATTTTTCCTTCTGCTCCATCTTCTTTTTTCTGTTTTGCAAGCACAAGCAGTGGAGGTATTCCCTGAGCAGCGTGAATGTGCAAGGAGCCAGGATACCAGGATAAGGTGCTGCAGAACTGATGGAAGCTGCCAACCAAACGCAGACATCCTTCATCAGTAAATCACACAGAGTTCCCTGTGGAATGAATTAAGCAAATAAGGAAGCCTTGAGTGGATTTTTTTTCCTCGCCAAAGGTTTAAATTGAAGGAAAAAAAACAAATTATTTAGCTGCTATTTACAATCGTTCAGTCCTTCCTCTCATTTGACAAAACAGGCAATATAAAGCCCAAGAGCAGTAGGTGGAAACCCTCACATAGCAAGCCATTGTAGTTTATCGTATGCTTGTCCACTAGAATGCAACATGGAATCGACTAATGAAATAAACGGGCATATTTTTGTTAGCTACTAGAATGACGTTAATATTTTGCCTCTAAAGCATGCTGTGTGGAGCCTGTGTACAAATACAGAGGAATGCCTGGTAGAAGACTGAGACATAGCCACACAATGCCTGTGCCTGAAAAGCTGTAGAAACATTACCCTGCTGTAAGTGTTCAAAGAGGACAGTCAGGAGGAGTAGATGTGGGCTGCTGGGCTGGATTTAAGAGAGAAAATGCAGGCAAACAGATGCCTGCGTCTCTCTCTGCAGGTGGAAATATGAGAGAGATGGAGAGAAATTGAAAAGAGCGTGATCCAATACTTCAGCAGCAGAGTGGACCATCTCATATTTCCATCCAAACAAAAACAGTCTGCCTGTAAGTAGCAGCTACCCATCTCGATCCATCCCAGACGATCACGCCCACAC